TATCAGAAAAAGGCCCGGACATCACCGTCCTAGGTTTCATTCTCCTCCATTACTTTCTAGCTATATGGTAATTAGGTACAAGAACTTTGTTAACTATAAAGCATTATATTAATTTCAGAATATTTTTCTCTAGCCAAAGAGGTAAATTTGGAAGAAAATTACACAGTTCTGAAAATCTTGTGCTACATTGCAAGCCTAGCTTTTTATGCTATTGTTGAGCTTTCTAAGGTGTGTAATACTTAAGAGAATAAAATTCTTCATAAATGCTTTAAATTTTGTTTCTGTGTCATATAAGTTATGTGTTTTATTCCCATAGTTTCTTTAATCTAGATTCTAAATAATGAAAACTAAACCAGTGGTTGCCATAGTTTTTCCGAGTTTGGAAGTTGGCCTTATATTCAGCTAGTTCTTGTGAGTAAAAGGGCAGTGTTAGAGTAAGTAGTAAACCTGACTGTGATTAAACTATGTTTCTGAATCCTGCTTCCTGTTTGCTTAAGATGACTCCCTGTGGTCATCCTAGCCACCTCCCCAACCCCTGAACATTAGGGAGCCATGGTTATAATAAATGTTTGCCTGAGAAAATGTCACTGCTATAAAACGATTGCTCATTCTAATAAATAACATATGGGCAATATAGAAAGATTTTAATTAGAAATTTTTACATCTGGGAGAAATGTTTGTGGATCATCTAGGCCAATCAGGTTGTAAAATTTTTATTTTCTATTTTCAGCAGTTTTTGTCTAATGCAAAACCTTGTATTCAATTTTTGTAGCACGCACATATTCTGATACCTCGTAAGGTTTGTTTTTCATTTAAAATTACAAATATCAGGTGATATACATTTGCCAGTTTGGAAACATTCCTTGGAAAAACTAAAAGCCAAAATACTTTTCTTAAAAATGTGATTTCCTCCTCAGCCTTATGTTTACACAACACCACCCTTTGTCATAGTGCAACATGGAAGGTTTTTTTCGGACGTGACTTGCTTTTTTGAACATGTTACCCACAGAGTTCGACTGTACAACATACATGGTAAGAAAACAGAGAAACGCAGTTGTGAAACAAATGTATACTGATTCTTGAATTCTTGCTTTTCTTTTGTTGGTTTTAATAAATTAGCAGTTGGTTTTCGGAGATGACAATCATCCGTCTAACCTTGACATCAGACTTATCATATGATTTAAAATGTAGTATTTACCCTTTGATAATTAAAAATGGTAAAACATTTAACGCCTTACATATACTTGTTCTTTTCTTCTGTATATCTTCTCTTTCCTATTGCAGTATTTGTCTTAAGTCATGTGCTCATTTCTCAGATCTAAAAACAGTATAGTGGTTTTATTTTATAAAATGGAAATTATATTAAATGTGGCTTTCAATTAATGGATCACTACCTCTGTCACACACACACACACACACACACACACACACACACACACACACACACACACACACACACACACGGCCTGCCTTAAATATAGAATGTATTGTCATAGTGTACTACTAGAATTTAACTTAAAAAGAAAAATGTTCTCTGCTTGTTCTGCTTGTTTATGACTCTTTAGCTTGTAGAGCATAAAATTAGGCAGTTTTTATTGCTTTTAGGGCAGTATTGAAGCAGCTTCTTTGTTAATCAAGTGATAAGAAATAGGCCTTTGATCTCATTAGAAACTGTACTGTGGACCGTGGCACTGGTCCTTCCACAGGATTTGGGTGGAGCTGTGGTTCCCAAACAATCTCAGAATTGTACAGTTTTGTTGGTTGATTTTGAATTTGCTGTTTTTAGAATGGAGTACTCTTCCAACTACAAGTTTAATCCTGATAACCAGGCCATTTACCATTATATCAACTCTCTTAGAAAGGACCTCATAAAAATGCCACTTTAAATGTTTTGTTGCTGTTAGCTAAGATGAAAAATTAGAAGAGGAAAATATTCTTTCCCAGAATCTTTAGGCAAGTAGACAATAAAGCATTTCAAAACCAGTGATAAAATGAATGGGCAGGCACTGTTTACTTTTTAGGTATTGTGGGGAAGCAAAGGCTGCTGTGTTCAGGGAATTTCTTGGAAAACTAAGTTCAGTTTTCAAATTTCAGTGTCTAAATTTGATTTTGTTTTTAGTTAACTTTCTTAAACTTCAAATTTCAACGATGTTTGCCTTTTGGTAGAATTTCGGGTATGGACAAACTTTCTCATGTGACTTCTTAGGTGGTAATGTGTTATGTTTTCAGGGTTACCCATGATTTGTATGTTGAATTAAGAAGTAAAAGGTCTTCTAGAAGATGGTAAAGTCATATTAGACACTAACTTTGTGTCTTTTGCAATTATCTGAAATCACTTTGCTACCTACAAGAAAGTTTGTAGTTTTGAAATAATCTTTTGTTTAGTTTCCCAAAACCTTTTAAGTCAGAAACACTATTTTTGGCTGTCTCTTTGTACTCTTGCACAAGCCATTGTTTACTGTTTCTGAGAGCCCTAAAACTCCATCTTCACCTATGTTTCACCAAAGGTTTCATTTTATGGGTAGAAAATAGCATGATCACACAGGAGATGTGCTTATCTACTTTTTAAGTTTGCTGAAACTATTGTGTTTTAATGGAGAAGTTCTTCCTTGAATGTAACATGGCACCGTTTGGCACAGATCTCCATCATCAGGCTTGGTTTACTATTGCTTTTCATCAGTTATATTTAGGGATAGGCTGTGTCTCAGAGTTGCTGAAGCAACTCAGCAGAAAAATTCCAACTTCTCAACAGGTGTATTTGCTTAATTGCTTTTGCTTCTGTTTAATTGCATCCATCCATCAGTGCAACTTCTGAGTTTTATTCTGTTGGCCATGGGATCTGGGTCTCATATCAAAGGGTGGTTTCTGTAAATAAGAGGGCCCTTTTCTGCTTCTGTGGCTGTAGCCTAGCTTGCCGTCATGCTTCAATGGCCAATTTGGAAATTAATAGGCTCTGACTTGGCCCGTTTACTTATTCCAATAAACACACACTCATCAGAACTAAATGCTTGTCTTTTCTCCTCTTCCCCTCCCCTCCTGTCCCCTACTGAGCAGTCAGAAATGCCCAGTGGCTGATGAGCAGCCCTTTAGCAGGAGCAGGGGCCACAGAGAATTCACTGACCCCCAGCTCTCCAAGGTGGCAGTGCTGGCTCTGATTAGTCAGTTAAGGAATAGAGGTTGTTTTGAACGGAGTACTTAGAGTATTAGCATACCAAAAATACTAATAAAAAATAAATACGCAGACCTCAGATTGCCTCTGGATGTCTCAGTGAGTGGAATAAACTTGAGCTCAAGCCTTTTTTGCTGATGGTATATTTTTGCAGCTTGGAAGCAGGAAGCTTCAGAAGTTTGTGGGAAATGACAGATAAATAAGTTAGATATAATGTGAAGTTAACTTAAAGTGCTGTTCAGATGCGTTTTACTGTACTTGCTTGGACTGAACCTGAAACCGGCATGTGTAACTATTCAAAGTGGCAGATCCATCTTTCTTTTTGCTGTCTCAAGCCCAGAGCATTTTTTTTCCCCAACAAGACTACAGTTTGTGAAAAATGGAGATATTAGATCACCTGAAAGGCTTTCTTCCAAACTATATAGCCTCCCATGTTTGTATCTGAGTTCCTGGGAAAAAAAAGAAAAAAAGCCCAGTTGTGGAGATAGAGCCTTTTCTTGGTAGCCTCTGTGACCCATTTCCATCTATCCTTTTCTTTCATACGCTATTGCGTGAGGGCGCAGGTCGTCTGGATCCTGTCTTATTGGGTTTTAATTAAATCACTAACCCAGGCCTGTGACAGAGATATGAAATCTTCAGGGTGTTTGACTCTCTAGGTGTTCACACTACCTGAAAAGGGTTTGGTTATGCAGCGCTAAAGCGTCTGTACTAAGAAATACTTGACAGCTCTTTTGAACTTTGGCCTCTTGTAAACTAGGCTTCTGAGTGATTGATCAAAATGCATAGACAAACTGACTTTTGATCTTAGGTGCTACGAATACTTCAGCCAACTTCCAAGCTTTTATAGATTGGCTTTGGTTTTAAATTTCTTAAGATAACAAAAATATCTATTCTTGAACTTAACTTATTAAACTATTTTCAGGCATAGACTAATTTTGCCCCCTTTAAACTGAGTGGATATGGTTATTTGGATGAGTATTAATGACTAGAGCGAGCCTGTTGTTAGTACCAAATTCATGATCAATGGGGGTTGGGGGGAGGGAGACTTAATATTTTAAGATTACATACTGAAATTGTATGTTTACTAAACCAGTTAATCACACAAAAGATTTTATTATCTCTGAGCAAGAAGGGTGAAGAAACAGAAAATGAGTTTTATTATAGATTGTCTTTACTGAGTATCCGTTCATATTAAACCTTTCAAATTCCATTTACTTGAAACATTCTTTTAAAACCTAAGGTAATGCAAACCTGACAAAGTATATTTAAATTTCTCAATCTCCTTTTTTAGTTACTCTTTGATTCTTCTCTCCATAAAGTAACTTTTGCCCAATTTAGGCTCCAGCAGAAAACAAAGTCAAGGACAAAAATCAACCAACACTTCCCAAATTACATAAACTGTGTGATCATTGTTGATTTTGAAACAAACTGAGTTGGGAGGCCTGGGTGCAGCCTGACTTCTGGTTTTGTTCTTGGTTTGGTATTTAACTTTAGTTTCTCTATTTGTGTTCTCTCCAGATTCTGAAAATAATAAGCAGTACAGTTTAAAATCTCTCTCTTAACATCATTTAAGCTATTAAAAGCACTGTGTTTTTGTTTTCATTATTGTTCAGACATTACATTCAGAAGGTTTCTAGAAATATTAAATTAGAGGAAATTTTGTGCTTACAAGCTTTAAAAGCTTCAAAAGATCAGAGATTTCTAATGAAACATCATGCTTTGCCTTATATCAAGTTACATAAATCCTTTTTACAGTGACCATAACTTAATGAAATGCCCTTTTAGGACTATTTTATGATTTCTAAAAGATTATTTCATTTGTAGAAAATGACATTTTTCTGGAGGAAAAGGTGGGAGAGGTGGGGATTAATTTTTCTTGTAGTGTAATCATCTTTCATTAAATTGAAGCTGTAAATGTTACCAGATATGCTGCTTTAGCTTTTATCATTAATCTTGGATTAGAAGATAGAATATAATACAAGCACAAACCCCTGTACCACCTTGTGTTATAGTAATTTGTTATTTTACCATCACAAAAAATACGTATCTTGCTGTGATGTTATGATCAGTAAGTGACATTCACGAGCCGTAGTTTCATTTGTCTTCAGAGTTGTAATTATTAGACTGGTGCTATTTTGTGACATAAACTGCTACTTTGAAGAATTAGGTTGCTATGGGTTACCAAAGTATCATGTTCATTTTCACTGGCACAAGGTTCAGGTTCCAGATCTGTTAATATATACCTTCAAGGTTTTTTTCCCCCTCAGGACTATGTTCTCCTAGGCAGGTGTTTGTGAGTGAGTGAGTGAATGTGTCTGTGTAAACCATGTTTCAACCCTTAGGAGAAATATCTTAAATGCAGTAAATACTTTTGCCTGTTTTCCACCAACATATTATGAAAGTGCTGCATGTAATGGATCTTGCCAAAAGAAAGTACACAGTAGCCTGGGGGTAAAACGTAATGAACTGCTATCAAGAAGTATGGAAGAAAAGACTTTCCTTTGGCTGAAATGACTGATAATTTCCTTCCAAGGGCATATTTAGCAATCAAAGAGAAGTTGCTTTGTTTTTCTTCTGTTTTGAATATATAATCTAAATGGATTCATAACATGACCCTTGACTTTTAGAGAGTCAAAATGAATTGTGTCCAGTTAAACATATAAGAGAATCACATTGGGAATTAGAGATCTGAATCCTTAGTTTCGCCTCTAAGCAAATTAGAGTGACCTTGAGTTTGTTCTTTAACTTCTTAGGAGAGAAAGACTAGATGGTCAATTAGGTGTCACCATCAAAGAGTCTTAACAACACTTGTTTTCACATCAAGTTTCTTTGGTGCTTGACTCCTTGCTCCTAAATTCATCTT